TCCACATAAGGAATCTATTTGAATGTACTGCTAGTGCTACACGTGAGAAATCGAGAATAAGGAATGACATATGAGTAGATGATTTGGTGCGTGAGGTTCGCTCCAAATTTCAGATCCTTTGGACATATGAATGGCTCTCAGCAAAAAAGACAAATTAGGTTAGAAAAATGCATGAACAAAAAACTTTTTTATGACCACAAATTTGTCTTTTTTTGCGGAGAGCTACTCAGATGTCCAAATGACCTGAAATTCAGAGCGCACCTCACGCACCAAATTATCTACTATACAAAAAATGGATTTTAAAAAAAAACTAGTATTTGTTTTGAATTTTTGATTCATCGCAGGTGCAGATGAGCCTGGGCACGAATCGCTGCTCTCAGGGTTCTTACTAAAACATTATAGGTTTGTGTGATTCGGCAATAATGGCAGTATTTGAAAGAAACACAATCATAACTTAGGGTGACATTCAATTGTTTTAATTCCCTCTGTTTATAGTGGTCATTTCAATTGTCACCAATGGGCAACTCAAGTAAAAAAACATTTCATTTTCCCATTATCTACTATAAAATGTAATGTTGCAAAAATTCATAGAAGTAATGTATCTTACGATACGAGAGAAAAATAAACGACTTGCACAACAAGCACATACAACATACCTTGTTTGATAAAAGTACACTCAAGTGTACATGCGGATTTTATAAAGAACCTTATAGTGGATATTCTTTTTTTCCCTCAAAAATATCTCACGGGACCCAAGCTCGGCACGTTGAGCGTAAACTAAGATAAGCTAACCTATTACTGTGAAAGTCATGTCAAATGCATCAATGAGGTAGAGCAAACCTAGTAGAGTAGTAACTAATCCTAAGGCCAGGCACTGCTTAATTAGAAGTTAAAAGGGTGTACACTCCCGAAGTCTCTCCTAAGGCCAGGCATATGAAAGCAGGCCACAAGGATGTAAGGAGCCCGCCTGAGTTCTCGCTCCGAAGACCAAGATACTCCAACTCTAAACACGCCCAGGGCTGTTGACAATGTAATACACCAAGGGTGGCCTCTCGTTGGGAGCCCGGCAGCAAGCCTCTCTCCGGGCCCATGGAGATAGGCTAAGGCCTAACCATAAGATGGATCCACGGAGCCCGAATAGGCGGCAAATGATCATCTTGGCGAGCAAGCCAGGATGGCGGCCGCCGAGATCAGATTGATCTCTTGTAAAACTCTAGCCCCCGCCATCTATGTAAGGTGGGGGCTAGGGGTAGCCATAAGGATCTACATCCATAGAACCATACTCTTTGCCATCTATTTTTTTTAGCTGTTGGCAAAGAACTATTTTTTTCTGGCTGACAGCAAAGTGTTGACGCCATCGGTTAGGGTCCAGGCCCTACAAATTGCTTTTCTTTGTCGTCAGGCCGACGACAAACTCTTTACCATATAGAAAGGCAAGGATAAAGTAGCTCTTTGCCGATTTAGGCTTTGCCGAAAACCTTTGTCGTCAGCTAACTGTCGGCAAACTCTTTGCCATCATGTTTTCTCTCTCTGCCGTCTGTGTCGCCACTAACGACAAACTTGCCTGATTCCCGTCGTGTCGATAGTATCATGATCCATCCCCTATTTTAACCCTTGCATGAGGTACTCCACAATGAATACAAACACAAAGCAGGATGTAGGGTGTTGCTCCTTCCGGGAGCTCCGAACTTGGGTAAACTCCTCATGTGGTCTCCGATCTGGTACTTCCGGCTGCGTTCACCACCCAACCGAGGGTCCTAACAGGTTTATGCACCATGAATTATCATCCTCTCCACCAACTCGTACAGTCAAAGAAGAAAATAATCCATAATGAATGATAAATAAGGAAATAGCAAGGCTAATTAATCATATTCATTATACGCTGATCTTGTGATCTCCACTGCCTGGGGGGCAGCTCTTCTACTCTTCCCTACTGGAACCGGCTGCCTCGGAGGCCAGGTCATAGCGGATTGAGTTGGTGATGACACGCTCTATGGATTTACATGCAACACGAGCTCGATGAAAGTACAATCTGATGAACCAGGGGACAACTCGAGGGGTTTGTCGCGTTTGAGGGGATTGAGCCATCGCCCGAGGGTGTTGATGGGAGGGTATTTGTGCGGGGGTCTCTGCGTGCGATGGGAATAGGTGAGTGATGCCTCTCTAAGGGATGTTGTGATGCATAGGGATGAAAAGTGAGTGTGTGATCTCCCATTTTTCTACTTAAATAAATGAATGTGTGTTGGTGAGGGGCGAGGCCATGTAGGCGACGATGAACTAAACTGGGGAGGGAGATGTGGCCCATCTCGCGGGAGGCCTGCACATGGGCCAACCTTAGGACCCAGTAGGCCAGGACGTGGCAAGAGCCCTTCGCCCTGCGGGGGGTCTGTCTTCTGAAAGTTTCTTCATCTTGGCGTGCAAGCTAAGGACTCCCTATGTGTGATCCCTTTTGGAACATTTGGTCGTGCTCTGCACCCTACTAGGACTACTGATGGGTTTCAGTACCATCAGTAGGGCCAAAAGAGTGTCGCCCATACAACCAGTGACATAGCGACATTATTAATTAAACACTGGTTTTACTCACTACCCTCTTCATCTGTGATCATCCAGGTAAGCTCGCCTTTATGCGGCCTATGCTATGATAAATATGATCTCGTTAATTAAGCACAACGTGCAAATTGCAAAATTATAATGATGTTTTGATGTCTCTATATCTAAGATTAGGCCCAGAAGAGCGTGGCCTATACAACCAACAACATAGCAACATTGTTAATTAAACACTGGTTGTACTCACTACCCTCTTCATTTGTGCTCACCTAGGTCGCCTTTATGCAGCCTATGTTGTAACAAATATGACCTTGTTAATGAAACACAACGTACACATTGACAAATTATGATGATGTTTTGGTGTCTCTATATCTAAGTTGGTTATCCCATGGCATCACACGAGCATTCAACCAGTATATAAAAAAGTAGAGTGAATGTTATGCCTATGGGAATCTTCTCCACAATTGGAGGGCTTGATCCCACTAGGGGAGGATAGATCGAGCAATGCTCTCTCTAAGTCTTACTCTATACTTTGCTAACCCTAGAAAAGGGGGGAGGTACCAAATATATATGTTCTAAGGAAAGAGGGGAAAGTGGGGGTACAAGGGACATTTCCCATTAGATGCATGCTGGCATGGAGGAGCTCCAGGGTAGGTCGGGGACCCGAGGTACCTAGAGAGCAAACCACTAGACCCAGGGGATCCGGGGTATCTAGAGAGCAATGTCGTTGGAGGTCGGGAACCCAGGGGTCCAGAGCCCTGGGGTCGCAGGGTGTCCAGAGAGCTTCTCCTTGTCTCAGCTCTCTGGGACTCCATCTAGCTATCATCGTTGGCCCTCTTTATGGACATGGCATTGATTCCTCACTTCTCCGTGGATGTTGTCATCGTACATAATCACACACAAGGTTCCACTCTGATGTATTAGCCATGTCCCATCTAAATGCAGAGGGAGCTCAATTAGGAGAGAAGTTACCTCACTCTCGATAGCTCCTGCACTAGCCCTTGTCATTTATCCACTTCAGGCTTGAAGGCTTGATGACGGGTTCATGATGATGTCCATGGGATGCTCCATGCCAGGGAGGCTCAGACTACTACCTAGTCTACAATGAGAACAACTTTGATCATTAGAGTAGAGTATATCACGATGGAGTAGTTGTGAGACATCGTTCTGTTGCAATATAACTTGATTTAAGTTTCCCTTTATTATTACAGTTATGCATTGTACCTTGATACTGGTAGGTGAGGAGATTCAAAGCCAGATGGCCTAAATGGAAGCAGGACGCACTTTCCATTGCACTAGGAGGCTCTCCCCATTGATACCAAACATTTTATAATTTTCCAATGTGTTGCAATGAGGGCATAAATATTCTAGTGAGTCAATACCAATCATGTCTGATATATGCCTTACACCCACCATATTCTAATGCAGGAAGTGATTTGATTGAGTTAATAAAACATTCTAATTTGATTGACTCAATGCAAAATTTTGATTTGATTTGATTGTCCGTGTCCGACATATAGCTAGAATGATTTGAATTGAGTTAATGCAATTGCCTTGCACCCACCAACAGGTTGATTTGATTGAGTGGATGCAAAATACTACTCCCTCTGTCTCATAATATAAGAACGTTTTTTACACTAGTATAGTGCCAAAAACGCTCTTATAATATGAGACGGAGGGAGTAGTTGATTTGATTGAGTGGATGCAAAATAGTTGATTTGATTGTTTGTGTCCGGCATATAGCTAGAAGGATTTGATTTAATTTGACTTGATTGAGTTAATGCAATTACCTTTCTCACCTACTAATGGAGGCTCTTCAAAAGATTTGACTTGACTAAGATATGCGGGACGTGGGGAGGGAAGACTTCACCGACGAAAACCCCAAATTTCAGTTTGGAGAGCTTGTTTCTAATGTTGTAACACAAGTTTGTGACGATGAACAGCTGTAATGCTTCTAGTGTACCACTCTCATCCACACTCCACAGCCATCCTGCCCGCTGTAGACGCTCACAGCGCCTGTGTTTCATTACGTTAATAAAGCTGGATGCCATCATGGGATAGATTGCCTGTAGAAGAATCGTGCTGGACGGGTCTCTTCTTATGGTCTTATCCACTGGATGCTTATTTTGGGAGGAAAGACTAATTCTAGCCATGGATGGATTCCGCTGATCCGCTCTGATCTGACGCAAGGCAACACAGTAAATTAGCCCTTATCCTTGCATGCATGCATCAAGTCAAGGTTAGTTGGTACCCCCATCTGAATCCCGAGATATTAGCCAGGTTCTAGCAAGCTGGCCGTGAGTGTTAAGTAGAGTATAAAGCTGCATGCGGATGGTTAGTCCAATCCGGCCCTAGTCACCCGCGATGCAAATCACACTCCTGCCAGGAGGACGTACCTGCCATTTCTAGTAGTTCGTTTCTCTCTCTCTCTCTGACTCGGAGGGGCATCAGCCATGGGAGTGGAGGAGCAGGGGAAGAAGAATGGCGGCGATGGGGGTGGGAGGACGAACAAGTACGCTGTCGCCTGCTCCGTCATCGGCTCCATCATCTCCATCCTCATGGGCTACGGTACGTGATCAGAACGAAATGGAGTACCATGCATGCATGTCCATCCCCTGTTCTGTAAGTGAAGTTAGATGTGTGATCTTGTGGATGCAGACACCGGCGTGATGAGCGGCGCGATGCTGTTCATCAAGGAGGACCTCGGGACCAACGACACGCAGGTGCAGGCCCTCGCCGGCATCCTCAACGTCTGCGCGCTCGCCGGCTCCCTCACCGCCGGCCGCGTCTCCGACTGGGTGGGGCGCCGCCGCACCATCTCGCTCGCAGCCTGCATCTTCCTCGCGGGCTCCGTCCTCATGGGCCTCTCGCCCAACTTCGCCACGCTCCTGGCCGGCCGCTGCGTCGCCGGCGTCGGCGTCGGCTACGCGCTCATGATCGCGCCCGTCTACGCCGCCGAGATCGCGTCCGCGGACATCCGCGGCTCGCTCACCTCGCTCCCCGAGATCTGCATCAGCTTCGGCATCCTCATTGGCTACGTGTCCAACTACTTCCTCGCCAAGCTGCCGCTGGTCTACGGCTGGCGCACCATGCTGGGGCTCGGCGCGCTCCCCAGCGCCGTGCTCGCCCTCGGCGTCCTGGCCATGCCGGAGTCGCCCCGGTGGCTCGTCATGCAGGCCCGCCCGGACGAGGCGCTCGCGGTCCTCCGGAAGGTCTGCAACACGGCGGGAGAGGCCGACGTGCGGCTCGCGGACATCAAGAGCGCGGCCGGGTTCGTCGAGGGAGACGACGCGTCCGCGCCCGCGACCGGCAGCGGCGGCAAAGGCGTGTTGAAGGAGATGTTCATACACCCGACGCCGACCGTCCGTCGCGTCCTCGTGGCCGGCCTGGGCATCCACTTCTTCCAGCACCTGAGCGGGATCGAGGCCGTGGTCCTCTACAGCCCGCGGATCTTCAAGGCGGCCGGCATCGCCACCCGCAACAAGATCCTCGCGGCAACCATTGGGGTGGGCGTGACGAAGACGGTGTTCATCATGACGGCGATCCTGCTCGTCGACCGCGTCGGCCGGCGGCCACTCTACCTGTCCAGCCTGGCCGGCATCGTCGCCTCGCTAACCTGCCTCGGCCTAGGCCTCACCGTCATCGAGCACTCGCCTCACGGCCACGGCGCGCCCTGGGCGGTCGTGCTGGCCATCACCACGGTGTTCACCTTCGTCGCCTCCTTCTCCGTCGGCGTGGGGCCCATCACTTGGGCCTACAGCTCAGAGGTCTGGCCGCTCCGGCTGCGCGCGCAGGGCGCCAGCATCGGCGTGGCCATCAACCGCATAATGAACGCCGGCGTGTCCATGACCTTCGTCACCCTGTACAAGGCGATCACCATCGGCGGCGCCTTCTTCCTCTTCGCGGGGTTGGCGGTGGTGGCTGCCACGTTCTTCTACTTCTGTTGCCCGGAGACGCAGGGGAGGCCCCTGGAGGAGATCGAGGAGGTGTTCAGCCAGGGTTGGCACGCCCGGCGGAGGCAGCAGCCGTCGTCGTCGCCGGTGGCCGACAGCAAGGCATAGTGTTTCACGGTGACGGTACAAACCATGTACCAGGACGTGTCCACACTTCGCATGGCCGTAGTGTTTGGTCATAGGATTTTAATAGTAGTAGCTTTTTATTACAAATAGTGCTGCACTTTGGAAGGTTTATTAAAGAGAAAGATAACCTATCAGTACTGTATTGTAGTAGCTGTCGTGAGTGTTGACAAGAAATTTCCAAAACGATCTTCAGAGAAAGAATGGGAATTTTATGGGAAATGTTTATATCTCGCTTCAGTGCAAGTGCTCCTTCGGTCTGCCTTGAAGCTTCGGCCCCGCACTGTAGCTACTGGCCGGCCCGTTCCGTCTGTTTTTTTTTTCCTTCATCCATGGTGTTTCGTTCCGGTTCATTGAGTTTAGTTCGCTGGGAATGCTAGCTGCTCGGTTGAAACCTTTCCTTTCCAGAGATTAGAGACTCAAAGTGCGTTCCCATCAGGGAGGATAATCACGGACAATGTTATACTAGTGGCTTATGAATGTCTACACACGATGAAAAAGAGAAGGAAAAGTAAAATTGGTCTATGTGCTGTGAAGCTTGATATGCATAAAGCGTATGATAGTGTTGAATGGGGTTTTTTAAGGCAATCCTTGGCAAGTTGGGGTTCGATGAGCGATGAATTGGACTAATCATGTCATATGTGACCTCTGTCGAGTATAAGGTCCGGTTCAAC